ATTATAATAAGTCCCTACAAATTAAAAAAATTAAATGTTTTAATGTTTTAATATTAATCATATTAATCAGTTTATTTTATTCTAAGCTTTATAGTAATGAGACCATAYAAACAGGTCAGTGCACAGAAGCCTAAATATCACATCAGATGAAAGCTCTACCACACCAAATACTTTCAGGACATAATCACTGGATGTACATTTAAAACTGAATAACTTTTGTATGAATGCTAATCCAGGAGGTTGCAGATTATCAGCATGGGATTTATATTATCTTTTTCCAGTAGAACTGAACTTCCACGTTCGCCAGTAGAAGTTAGAAATTCTCTTCTTGCACAAACATCTATTTTCCTTCTCATGAACAAGCTGCAATTTTTACCTCAGTAAAAACCTGCTGTAAGACAAGAACCCTGACACTTTGTGCATTCTCTGATCTGTAACTGTCGCTCCATTAAACTTTACCAATCCCGTTACAAAACAGCCTCCATCTCAGAGCAGAGGGCCGCTGCCTGTCTGCACAAAGCCCGGCATTGAAATCTGGATATCATTCTGCAGCAAGAGTTTACTCTGCTTGAGCTGCGACCTTCACTTCCTCTTCTCTGAGGTGGGACCGTGAGTGCATAATGATTTACAAGCAGTATGAGAAGAAGGCTTTTTGGATCAAACTCCCTCCCCCACTTTCTGAAAAAAATGGTGACGCAGCAAAACAAGCAGACATTCAAAAAAAGAAAAAGAAAAAATCTGGCAACCCTCCAATGGCTGGCCCACCCAGGTTTTCACACGCACACAAAAACACATGGTAGTGAGACAAAAAGGGAAAGGCAGATGTGGACGAGTGAAGGGAAATGTGTAAAAGTGTTAAAAAGAAGAAAAACTTATAATGCTGTTCACGCAAACATACATCCTATATTTTTAAATGTAAAACGGAATATAAAATATTCATATTCTCATGTATAAGATCAGCTTCAGTTGGTGAACAGCTTGTGTAAGGCCCSGCTTCTCTCAGGACTGAAACCTGGCAGGCTTGGGTTTCACCTGCGACACAAGACGCACCAGTCACCTGGTGCGCAAAGTATGGGACTAACAGAGAGAAAAGCTCCTAGAGTGTCCTCGTTTTGATGAAGAGGAAAGCTAAAAAGAAAAAAAAATWACCTAAACAGATCCACCACAAAACTGTAGGGAAGATCAGAGTTACTTACATATAAAGGCACCTCGTTTCTGTTCACCTCCATGTCGCTTCCATCCACCAGATACCTGCAGAGGAAAGAGTCAGGTTACTCTAAAGTCGGGTTAATTATAACACCAGAGAGCACGCTGCTGTGTGAAGGGGGGCTGTCAGTCTAATCTCTAACCATGTTCTTATTAGACCACACCATCTTATCAGAAGCAGTTTGGTACAGAACCTTGTCAGTGTCTGTTTTTATTTATTAGTGCTTGCTGCCGTAAAGTGGAAGGTGAGAGACAATAGTTCATCACGTGTCCATGTTTGTCTGTTAGCAAAATTTACTGGATTTAATAAAACTCTTAGAAGTCAAAGGATGTTCTTCTTCAACTGTTTAACTTTTGGAGCCAATTCATTAAAGGGATCCCTGATTAGTTGTAACATTAGACTTTATTTGATAAACATATATTGCAACTGTAAAATAAACACTGTAAAAATACTGTAGGATGTTTAGTTTTGTAAAGTTAAATAAAATATATTTTAACATGGAGCCATTTTAWTTACACACAAAGCATTCTGGGTAAATGATGACRYGGATAGGTCCTCGGTGTGAGCGAGCTATATCCACCCTGAAGGTTAATCTTGGACAATATCTGATGATCGACTCTTTTAAATGAAACCAGAGAGCGTTGACAGAGAGGAGAAGGTAGAAACAGTCCAGTCAACAACTAAAAATGTGGATGGAGGACAACAGAGCTGCTTCATGGAAGATGACCCTCAGCTTAGCCTGTAAGCCTTCGCGCTAGCACCAACGCTATACTGCCTTATATGTATTAGCTCGGCGCTAGCGCGACAAATTAAGAAGCTAAACTGAGGTCCTCCATCCATATGACAGAGAGGGGAACGCAAAAATGACTCAG